TTAAGCAATGAGCATATCATAGCTAAGCCTCTGTTTCTACTTGCAGTTTTTGCCCTCGCAAAGTTAATGAATGCGAATGAAGATCACAGCCAGCTTTCTGCTATTGCAAGGTAGTTTAATAGTTCTTAAATTATCTCATTTTCAGGTTGCCTGTATCTTGCTTCAATTATAATGATTACAATTGTGAATGCCTTGCGCTTCATTTTCATTGCTTGAATGTGGCTGCTGTTCATGGAATTTTTAAGTCATGATAAGTATCAGAGTTATTATGTTTGCTACAATATAGACCTCAGGTAATGGATTTCACTATGTGCGTTTTTAAGTTCATCTTAGTAGTTGTGTTATAGATCCTTTTTCTTCTGTATTCACATTATAGAGATTCAAGTATTGTAGTTGGTGGTGATAATTCTCTAAATTTATTTGTTCATACAGGCGAGGTTCAGGCAGTGCTTGTCGCAGTTTGTATGGGGGATTTGTCAAGTGGATCATGGGAAAAGTAAGTTTAGTTCTTTTATGGTTATTGTTATGCCCTCTGTTAAAAACCAAGTTATTCTATTGAGTATTTAGTGCTGATTCTTGATATCATTATCTATTAAGGATGAGAAGGGAACCGACAGTCTTGCAGTTCAACTCGCGGACGAGAAGCACTGGGATGAGCTTGTCATTGTTATTGCTGTGGTATGTAATATATGTTCTATACATTCTGTCAAATGAGTTTATTGGCAAATTTTGGCCTGTGGATATGACTTTCTTTCTTGTCATATTGTGCTCGGTTGTTTTTGAAAGATTTTCCCTAGGGTCTTTTGAATTTTCGACTTTCCATCTCTGAGTTGGCCATGCATTTCATTCTCTTTTTTTGAAAATATTTTTTTGGGTAGTTTGATGGTTTGACGTAATTTCTATTTGTGATATGCATATCTTTCTGGTTTTGTAGTATCAGCCATATTATCTTATATGTGTTTTCTGGTCAGTATCAATGGCACGATAATACTTTTCAGTTTTGCAAAATACTACCTTTGAATATTATATTATATGTATTATAAAAAAAATATCCCGGTTCAGTTGCACAAAGAGTTAGGAAGATATTAAGTAGTCCAGATTAAAAAAAAAATAGTAAGAGAGAAAAGTTTGATTTAATGTATTTAATTTGAGAGTTGCTACTATTAAAAAGAATAATTTTTATAAAGTCGAGTTTATTTTTTACAAATCATGTTAGTGCATGTTTTGTTGCATGAGGTGGATTTGGTGGAATGGAAAAGTAATTTGGCAGTTACACCCAGCCCAAAAATTTATATGATGGGTGTTTATAATGACTGCACAAGCTTATTTTGGAACGTTGAGGTGCTGCAATTTGTATAGAATCCCGACAGAAGCCAAAGATGTATTCTGAATATCTGACTAGGTTTATCACCCTATACCCTAAGTTATTCAAATCTTGATTTTGTTTATTCCAGGTCAGTTCACAGCAGAAGGAAACGAGTAGCACTACAGGAATGCGTGATACTGTTGAAACAAGTTTGCTCTTACAACATAGAGCGAAGGTACATTCTCCATTGTCCTTTCACTGCCTAGTTTAAATGATAGGATTCACCTTTAGTACAAGAAGGTTATCAAATTGACTGAACTCTGTGGTTTTGCATTTGATGCATCTAAAAACAGAAACTTTAAATTCTGTATTATACCACATTATGCTCAATAGCTTAACCAATCAAGAATTTTACAAACTGTAGAACTTTAATCCATAAATTCTATAATTTTGAATTATTTGTACCTTCAAGCTCCCTCATTTTAGTGCACCGTTAATAGAAAAACACGGTGTCTCATTCTTTTAGGTCATCTGCTGTCGTTTATTTTGGTGGGGTCATTTAACCCTGATCTAACTTGTATATTTCTGTTTGTCTTTTTATACTGTTACAGGAAGTGGTACCCAAACGCATATTAAAAATGGAAGAAGCCATAAAAAATCATGATTTTGCTTCTTTTGCACAACTGGCCTGTACTGACAGTAACCAGTTTCATGCTGTTTGCCTCGACACATGTCCCCCCATATTCTACATGAATGATACATCCCACAGGCAAGCCTCTTTTTTGAATTTGTGTTACTTGAAAAGCTCAGCGGTTACAGTAATTCATTTATGTTTTCATTGAGGTGCGGAACTAGAAACTTGGAATTCAATATTGACGAAGTAACTATGTTTCAGGATAATCAGCCTTGTTGAAAAGTGGAACCGTGCAGCAGGAACGCCTCAGGTTAGGAAACTATTGAGTATAAAATACTGATTGCTGCTCTTTGTAGCATGATAATGTTAAAAAACGGTGATCTTGAATTTCTAAGATTGCTAGTGCTCTGTGAGCAATCATATCTTGAATTTGGTATGTCTGATTGTATTTTCAGTAGAAGTCCTTCAGCATAAAAAGATTAACCTAGTTAAAGCTTCAATTTTGCATGTTTTCTTCATATAATGTCTCAACTGAAGCAAATTGCACATCCTCAGCAGAAGCAAGCTGTAAAGAATTCCGAAGATGTAACTAATAAATTTACAAATTATTAGTGGAACAGAAAACTTTTGGCATTAGCTTTTCAAGTAATTTGGTTCAGACTTTGTTCTCATAATAAACGTTATTGCTCAAAGCATGCTTGGAAGTTTCCCTGGGGATATACCTTTCCTGAATGGCAATATTATAACATGTTATTAAAAGTACTAAATTTCGGTTGTGACTCTTAAATGCTTCAGAAATACTAATCTGAACCTGCTTATCCCATGTGGCACTAATCTTACTTTATGTTTAGCTTATGGCACCCGTCTGCTGCTAAATATTATTTGGGAAAAGATTTTATACTCTATAAGCTTATTTGAGTTGCATACTGTTCATACTATTTTTTTGAGTAGTTGAAAATATTTTAATAACTGACAGGTGGCATATACATTTGATGCGGGCCCGAATGCGGTTCTAATCGCACGTAACCGAGAAACTGCTGCCCTTTTGGTTCAGAAGCTGCTATTCTGCTTTCCTCCAAAATCTGATGCAGATTTGAACAGGTAATATTTGTGGGCTTTGATATGACATTTCCTCAAGCTTAAGAGATTCTTATTTCTGTGTAGTTTCCGCATCAATGATTTTTCTGATGGCACCAACCTTGCTCCCCCTTGTGTGTGGCTTTCTCTTTTAAAAAATTTCTTAATTCTTTTCACAGTTTCGTTCTTGGTGATAAGTCCATTCTGAAAGATGCTGGGGTTGACAGCCTGGAGGCTATCGAAAGTTTGCCCGCACCTCCAGAAATCAAGGATCCATCCCAGAGGCACAGAGGAGATGTTAGTTACTTTATTTGCACAAGACCTGGGAGAGGTCCAGTTGTGCTGTCAGATGAAAGTCAATTTCTTCTCAACCCTGAAACTGGGTTGCCGAAGTAAGTTCAGAAGATTTCCCTTTCTTTCACGGTGTTCTGTTCTTTCTCAGGACGATTCAAATGGCTGTGTGAGCCTGAAGTAGTTCGTTCAGATGATCCTTTTAGGCTGAACCCAAGAATTGTCTTAAAATGATTATCCGAGTTCATCTCAGTTGGACAGTTTCTGTTGCTTGTTATTATGGTCTTTATACTCACTGCCTTTGACACATTAATGAATAAATTGTCTATTGTTCATCAGAAAGTGTGACATTGTGATAACTATTAGCAATTCATTCCCTTTCTCTACATGCCCTTCCTCCTACATGTCAATGTGAAATATTTAACTTTGAGTTCAAGTAGCTTGAATTCCACCAACATCATGACATTGTATGACCTTTGTACTGATGCAGCCCGGAAGCAAATGATCGTTAACAAGCAAATGATCGACAAACGTCTAGATCCATCAGCTTTATGAAATTCACCAAAGAAGAGACAAAATCTCAATAATTTTAATAATGATATTAATAAGCCGTCAATTTTGAAATAGAAAACATAAAACTCCAAAATCGTAGGAAACTTCTTAAAACTTAAATGACAAGAAAACAATTACATCCTAATCTAAATAAAAGTAAACAATTAATTATTCTAAAATTAATAAAAAAACATTAAATAAAATATTTTCCTCGCCAGAACCCTAATTCACTTCAAGCTGCTCAAGCAATTTGAAAATCCCACCAATACATCCTTTGGGAAGAATTTTTCTCTCTTGAATGATTTCTTGCCAATTTTGAACAGCTCTATGTTCTTCTGTTGCTTGTTTCATGTATCTTTAACTTACTTTTTGCTCTTTTAATCCAATTGTGGTCTTTGTACTCATTGTCTTTGACACATTAACGAATAAATTGTCTATTGTTCATCTGAAAGTGTGACATTGTGATAACTATTACCAATTCATTCCCTTTCTCTACATGCCCTTCCTCCTACATGTCAATGTGAAATATTTAACTTTGAGTTCAAGTAGCTTGAATTCCACCAACATCATGACATTGTATGACCTTTGTACTGATGCAGCCCGGAAGCAAATGATCGTTAACAAGCAAATGATCGACAAACGTCTAGATCCATCAGCTTTATGAAATTCACCAAAGAAGAGACAAAATCTCAATAATTTTAATAATGATATTAATAAGCCGTCAATTTTGAAATAGAAAACATAAAACTCCAAAATCGTAGGAAACTTCTTAAAACTTAAATGACAAGAAAACAATTACATCCTAATCTAAATAAAAGTAAACAATTAATTATTCTAAAATTAATAAAAAAACATTAAATAAAATATTTTCCTCGCCAGAACCCTAATTCACTTCAAGCTGCTCAAGCAATTTGAAAATCCCACCAATACATCCTTTGGGAAGAATTTTTCTCTCTTGAATGATTTCTTGCCAATTTTGAACAGCTCTATGTTCTTTATCTTTCTTCGTAAATATAAATCCCATATTTTATCCTACATCACATACACATGTTCTTGTCCACCACAAAGAAAGTTTCTCATATTTTTATGACGGTTTCATGAATAAGCCAACTGATCAGCAGTACAAGAACACTTCCTCCTGATGCTTTCTTTTCATCTCCGTTTTATTCTTTCCTACTTTTTCCTTACACATTTGCCAAAAAGTATCCTAGAATTTACCCATACGGCTACTGCCATGTTTTCACCTTCCATGCCTTTTTTTATAATTACAAGCTATAGTTTAAACTACACGGGATGAGAGATTCTCTTACACACACACTACCATAGTGCCATGGGGATTCGAACCTGATACCACTAGTATGCAAGTCAAGGCCCTTTATCACTCGGCTAAACCCCTTTGGCACCTTCCATATCTTATATTTGCACCCAGTGGATTGCATCTGTCATTTGTGCAGAATTGTCAATCTTCACAAACTATTTTCAAAAAGTCTCATTCCTTTCCAATATTTAATCTATATGAAAATTGTAAGCCAGTTTCGTCCAATACCTTACAAAATCTATCTTGCTGAAACAAAATATTAAACAATGACAGAAATCTGAGTCTGATACAAAGGGAAAAAAAAAAAAAAAGGGAAGAGAAAGAGCTGCCCTGTATCAACAATGGGCTACTTCTCTTCAATCAGAAGTGCCTTTAAGATAGCTTCACTGATACCATGTGCAGCTGGAAACAAGTGTCCAGCACCTGGTAACTCATGGTAGTGAATCCATGGAAGCTTTTCTGCAATATAGCGTTGCAGTTCGACTGGGACAAGCCGATCTTCATCACCCTGCCATAGATGGACGGAGCCTTCCTTACCGGCAAAAGGGTTCTTCAGATCTAGAGGATCAAATTCCCAGGTCCCAAATCCAACCATCATGTCACGAAGGACCGACTCAAATTCTCCTTGCTGCTTGGCCTGTTCCTGCAAAAATATAAAAATAATTAATAGATAAATGAATCATCAAAGCTGGTGGTAAGGACGAATGCCACATAAAATGAGTCAAGTACAGTTGGATGAGAGTATTTTCAACAAGATTACGGTACAAACAAAACTCCCAACTGCCCTGTAAACCAGGAGGCTCCTGAAGCCTCAACTAGCACTATAGCTCTCCAAGTGTGAATTAGTCTTGCAAATGATATTAACTCTTGCTCAAGGGTTTGAAATTGTTGTACAACGGTTTGAGAAGTTAATTTTTCACATCATATGAAGCTTTATATTGAATCTTCTAAGGTACGTGGTAATGGACCGAGCTGAAGTAATGCCTCATGTTGTGTCCCTCTTATTGAGTTTCAATAAAAAGTCCTAAACATTTACCGAATATGAAAAGTACCTTGTTATCCCTTTCAGAAACGTTCGCATTCCGTATGATTTCCAAATCTTGGCGAGAAAAAATGTTCATATTTGGGTTACTACTGGATACAACACTGGATGTAGGAAATAGTTTCTGAGTGTTCCACCAGTAGATTAGCCATGGTATGTGGTGAGCAACTCGAAGTGCCCATTGATCCCGCGGAGGTTGTTTATAATAGGAACCGGACAAGTTGGCAGGCAAGCCTGGCCACCAGTAGTTGACAACAGGAGCAATCAGTGTTGCTCCTGCTAGCCTGTCAGCATCCCAAACATCAAACTTGAGAAAAACTTCAATACTGATTAACATATCAGATAATGTAGAATTTGGTCCTCATTGAAGTAAAGCCTTGTATCCAGACTTGATATAAGCATAAGTACCAGATAAAACCTACTTTCAATGAAGTTCCAATGCTGGTGTAAAGTAACTAATGTATTATGCAGCCTTTATAAATCTTTACTTCAACATTTAGAAGGTTTCCATATTGTATCCAGCCAAAATTTTAGTTGTTCTTAAAAGTTAAAGTTAAATACATATGCAGCATGATATTTGAAATTAATTCATCTCTCTCTCTCTCAATTGGTATTCTAACATTCACAATGGACGTGTAGAGCATTTACAACTGCCTATACTATCCATGAGGCTTGTAGGAAAGTCTTACCTGTGAGGGATGTACTGAAGACACTTCCAGATGACCTGTCCACCCATAGAATATCCAATTACATAAAATTTGGATCCCAGTCCCAGCTGGTCACCAAGCTCTTCTATATCTAAAGCCAAACTCTTCCGCGTTCGTTTAGGATCCGGATCACTTTCACCATATCCCGGTCTGTCAAAAGAAACAATGTATGCCCCTAAATCTTCAAGCACTTCCTGAAAAAGAATCCACCAAGAAGTTAACCCATCTAATTTTTGGACACAAACTTTAAAAACCAATGAAGACTATAAAATCAATTTGAAATTGAGAAACAAATTGAAAACCTGAGTGACGGTTGTTGCAATCAGTGCATCATGTCTGGTAGAACCAAAGGCATGAACATATATAATCTTATATCTGGCCACTTCTTTTGGAACACCATGTTCCTTGAAGGCCAAATATCTTCCATCCCTCAGCTTTATTCTAGATGCCGTGACGAGTGGGCCGCCGGGGGAGCCACAAAGTTTTGGAGGGGGTGGTTGGATGGCCTGATATGCCCATGCCAGCAACCCAACTAACAAGAGAAATGTGAGTCTCTTAAACATCTCTGATGCCTGACCCCTGAGAATGAAAAATGAAACTTTGCTGATAAACCAGTACAAGAAGTGAGGAGCAAAATAGCACTGATCTTGAGGACACTATAATAAGGCTTAATTTGGGCATTTCCCCTTAATTTGGATCATTAAAGTCCTGATGAGATCACATATTGATTACCTCTACAAGTTCACCAATGAAGAGGGTATCTGAATGAAACAACAACCAGAAGAAATGGAGAGCCAAGTTTAAAAAGCGGGTAAACAGAACAAATATACACACAAAATACAGAAAGGGTCAATAAACAAATAAATCAGTTGTACATTAGAAGTCCCATCATTTAGTTAATTTTACCAGAAATTACATGAACTTCAATAATCTATCTGCTGTATTCTTTGCCCTGTTCTTCACCAAAAATAAAAATTAAAAAAATGTAGCTAAATCTATCCATTGGGTTTCCATTGTGTCCAAGAAAGCAGTCAATATGCAGAAACAAGCATCAACCAAATCAACCAATCATTTTTAAGACAGAAAAACTTGAATATATGGACTGCATCATATAAACTAGAGTCAGAGCATAAAACCCAGAAAGAGAGAGAGAGAGAGAGAGAGAGAGAGAGAGAACGTACGTTAATTATAGTTGAGAGCAGGAAGAACAGCTGTTGTGCTGAAGCAAACCATTATATATCTTTAACTTAACATTTGGTTTTAATTAATTAATTAATTGTATTACAAGTAAGTAAACAAGACCGCCACCTAAACAAGACCGCCACCTAACTAACCAAACCCAACCTAAACTCGATGACATATTTTTCGCTCCATTCATTTTGACCTTTGACATTTTTCTGGTCAGCACCAAAGCAGAGGGGAGGTTGGTTAATCCCAAAGTTGTAGGTAAACCTTACAAGACGACAAAAATGGATTATTTTCTGCTATGCTGTCGTAAGATTGACCTAAATTCCTTTGTTGTCGTCTGTTATAAATTATTTTCTTTTTACGAGAAAATGGATAATTTTTTGTTGTCGTAAGATTACCCTAAATTTCAAGAGTTTTGAAAAATATGATAATTTAAAATGTTGACAATCTCTAAGAAAAATTTATCTGATACCCCACATAGCATGATGGAGTGATGCATTGGATTTACCCAAAATTATGACACTTAACTCCTTCA